TTGAAGAAATAAGATTGCAAAGTTCTCATATCGGTATATCTCAAGTGAATACAACCATCGCTACTAAAGAAATTTCACCATCTCACCTCACAAACTACAAACCCTGATGGACTGGACCACTATGGCTCAATTACAAGGAATCAAAATGGTCTCATTGAGGATACGATATCCCACAAGAAGATGATAAAGACGAAAGTAAGGAGGAAACGATAATAGCAATAATAAAGCTAGAAAATGCCATCAACGAAATACATATTAGGCTAATGGACGCGAGTGGATTCAGTAAATGGACACGAATGATACGAATAACAATAAGAGCGTTAAAATTACTCAAAATAATAGCTAAAGGAAAACTTCCATAGTTAAATAGTACATCCGAAGAAAGCTTAATTACGTCAGATATGGATTCGCTCTTATCGTCTTCTTCTCTGACCGTGACAATATTTAGGGTTTGATTGCAATCTTTCAGTTATTGTGGACCTCAAATTTGGATTAAACCATAGCAATAGTAGTAAAAACACAATATTAAAACAAGAAACAAGCGATACAAAGAATAAAGCAAACGCATAACCTCAACAGAAGAAGTAGAAAAAATGAAGAGGTGAATGATTTGATGTCTTATACAGGCAAAGTATACGTGCATATCATAACGCGGAAAAATAAGCAAAGGTATTGGAGGATATAAGAGCAACGGAGATCATGTAATACAATAATTGCAGGCAATGATGGGAACGAATGCGAATACACGATGAATCATTTGTCTGCGTTATTTGGTTTAAACAGGAACATTAACATTGACACATATTAACATGCACTAAGACAGTAATATTCCTTATTACAATTTATGAATTCTTTCGTACTTCTCGCTTTTCAGCGACGCTCCAGAACTGCTACTGAGACAAGCTTAGTCCGAAGGTCTATCAGTAGAAGAAATAAACACAATCTATATTACACTTCTTTAAGAGTAGACTACAATTCTCGAGCGAGGCGAATGTATATCTTACGTCATATACCTCCCCAGATGTCACCGAATAACAGAGATCATTATTCAGCACTATCATGAAGATATTCATCATGCAGATATTCCACACACAATTTCCAAATTAAGAAAAACTTGTTGAATACCGAAGGTAAGAAGAGAAGTCAAGAAAGTTCTAAACCAATGCATGGATTGCAAACAGTGGAAAACCAAGCCATTCAAACTGCCACCTATGCCAAACTACCCACAAGAGCGAATCACAAGATCAAGAATGTTCGCCCGAATCGGCCTCGATTATCTGGGACCTGTCATCGTCAAAACAGAATTAGAAAGAGCAAAGAGATGTGGGTTGCCTTATTCACTTGTTTCATTAGTAGAACGTACATTTAGAGTTAGCAGACGATCTATCCGCAGAAAGTTTTCTAACAGTACTAAAAAGATTTGTAACGCGCCGCGGGTATCCTGAATTCATTGTGTCGGATAACGCCAATAAATTCCAATTGATATACCAAACCATAAAAAAACAAGAATCACAAATTGTAGCGGAAATAGATTGCCTTGTTGGAACGTGTGGATAGTAGGAATCGTTCGATCGTTTATTGGAACCTCAAACTTGGATAATTAAACCATAGCAATAATAGTAAAAACACAATATTAAAAACAACAAGGGGCACAAAAAATAAACCAAAACATATCTCAAACAAAGAAATAAATGAATGAATGATGATGAATGAAGATTTGATGTCTTATATAGGCAAAGTATACGTGCATATCATAACGCGGGAAAATAAGGAAAGATTCGAGGGTATAAGATCAAAAGGATATCATGTGATACAAATAATTGGATGCAAAGGTAGGAACGGATGTGTTAGTACAAGATGAATCATTTGATTGCGTTATTTGGTTTAGACAGGAACATTAACATTTGACATGTATTTATGCACGGTAATATTCGCGACTTTTGCGACACGAGTAGCTAACTTCCTCGCAAGAGACCCGTCCTTTAATTTATGTAAATTTCGACGATTCAATCATTTTACCACCAATAGATTTCATTTCGCCTAATGCTTCCCTGTTCATACCATACGACAACGATATCAATTAAGATGAATTTATTCCCCATAAATTAAATATCCAGGACAAACTTATTAAACACTAGTCAAATACCCTAGAAACGCTAAATACATTTTGGGAGATATGGAAGGAAGAGTATTTAAATAGTTTAAGAGAACGCACATAACTATAACATAAATCTTGCAAGAATGTAGAAAGGAAAACTCCTATAGAAGTAGTATTATTAGATAAGCCTCAAATATTAAGAGGTGTTGGAAATTAGACCAGGTAAGGGAGTCTTACTTTTATGCAAAAAAAAGTTAAAATAATTAATCTGAAGAAGACAGAGAACAAAAAGTTAGAATTTGAGCCATTTTTTGAATTGATTCGCAATCTTATATCTAGCGATTTAGCAAATCAACGAAATCTACGAGAAACGATAGAGGGAGAATTAAGAATTTGACTTATTTGAAAATAAAACGTATCTTAAACCAACATAAAGAATGAAAAGTATAATAATTGAGGCCAATATAATGGTGAATATTTGATGAAGTAGTTAAATTAAAATGTATCATTATCTGGGGAACATGGTTAATGAGATGGTCTAAAAAACTATTGGAAAAAGCCCGATATACTTATCGGAGCTGATTATTATTTTTTCAAATTTACTCAGATTAGATAAGGCGCAAAACTGCAATCAGTATTTTCTTTACTCCATGCAAAAAAAAAGTGTTCGCAAGGAAGTGAATACAAAATAAACTTCATTATTTTAATGCAATATTGGTCGAAACGAAATTAACCATGAAATATTCCTCTATATTTAAAAATCATGAACAGTTGGACAATGAACTGCCATGGTTAAATCAGCTACAGCCGCAATTTAAAATCACAGAAGATTCTGGAAATAAAAAACTCAGAAATTCAATTAATAATATTCGAGGAATCAGTATAAAAGATTAAAAAGGGAAGTTCAAACTTTGATCATCAATATATGAAAATTTCTTAAACAAAACCCATAACGAGAAGAATCTATAGCTCAACGAACCCAAAAATTCAAATTTGATAATCAAAAGTTCATGCAACCAAACATTGCTTGTATCGAACAATTAGAAATTTTGACATCCAAATATATGAAAATTATCTTATTATAAATGAATTGTAGACTTTTATTCTTAATAAAACAATTGCAATAAATTATGCATTTACTGATTCATATCCAATAAAAGGTGAAATTATCATTGATATGGGAAACGTTAAGAATCTAATTAAAGTTGTCAAACAAAAAGAAACCAAGATTTTGTTCTAACAAATCACTTATTTATGATGAAAATCAATCCGAATGAAATATCCGATTTGGAAAATGTGAAATTTCAAGATATGTTTTTAAATATTAAACAAATTTGGAATAATTTCAATTGAGTGGTCAATAATTCTAAAAAAATTAAGTTAATATATTTCAAGATAGTTGAAATTAAGGCTTACGTAATTTTAGGAATAGCTTTAAATATTCTTATCGACATACTGCTATGTAAGGATATTTCTTAAAGAAAAAAGCCGGTATAAGCATTTTGTTGTCACTAATTGTAAATAGAAGTATTCCGAATCCATTCAGACTTCTTCTTTTTGAGATTCTCATTACCTTTTTTGAGATTAAATCACTTATGTAAGGAGACTGAAATTATTTGCTCGCTCCAAGATGAAGAATTTTGCGTATAGTAGATGGTCCTAACCAATGCCCTTTCACGCCTAATTTCCAATAAATCAACGGGAGTATGTATTTTGTAAGCAAAAATGAAATGAAACGAGGTTTTGCTTGATTTATGGGCAATGTTTCATGCGGTCCTTCAGAGGTGAATTCCGCAAGTACCACATGTCGAAAACTGACAATTACTGGACACGACGAATAGCAGTTATACTGAAATGATTAAGAAATGGCAAAATATTCGAATTTAAATATTAAGTGAAATTAAATACTGAATAACATCATATATTCTATCATTTTCCACTGATACTAGCCTTCTGAAGGATCGGTCTAATATCTGCTAATTTTTTTTGCCATAGGCTACTATCCAGCAGCATGGTCGATTACTATCATAAAATTGAAGCAAATCGAAATGCAAATGTAACAATTGTAAAATTATAAATAATACGGGAAATATGAAAATGAAAAAATTACCATGTCCAATAATGGCTTCTTTTCCAAAAATTTCGGAATATTTTTACTCAAAGTTCTCATTTGGCTAACTGAAAGTCATTCATTCAAAATTCTAGGCATTTTTCACTGAACAAAACAAAATGTTGTTTACCATACTTATATCTAAATCAAATTTCGAAATTATATTAATAAACTTCTCAGTGAGGATTAATAGCCAAAACTAACATAAAGCAGCAGCAGTTTTCTTATTTGGTGATCCGAGACAGTCACCAATGCCAAAAATATTTGCAAATTTCGTATGTTGTAGTGATTTTGGATTTATATCCAAGAAACTGTTAGCATTGGTTATTTCTGGTGAATTGCGTAAAACCTTCGGTGCTGAACAAGGTGGTGCCACATGCAGGAAATCGAACTTCAAAAGATCAGTGAGATGAAATTGAATTATTAAAAAAAGAAAGATAGAGCCAAAAAATAAATGATGTAATTATTTTTTGGATGCCAATATTTGTTTACCATTACTTATTCTAAGTTAATAATACCACTTGGACATTGAATGGTGCATAAAGAACTGCAAGAATATGGTAGATTGGTATAATATATGGAAAACATATCCAAATTTAAGGATGAATGAGATGTTGATATTAAGGTTTCAGTAGGAAAAAAAAAGGCAGAAAAATGGTCAAATTCTTACTCCCGATTTTTTGAAAATAAAATAATTCTTGAAAAGAAAACAATTCTTTTGCTCTATAAATGCAACAAATAAACAAAAAAAAATTTGTAGTTAAAAAAATTTCATCTTCACTAGAATTAAAAAAAAAAAGTATACCTTTTGAATTTCTAATTTTCCTGTTGGTTTGTTATCGGTGTTCATAAGCTCAAATATAGCTTCGCGTTTTAAAACATTAATTGCTTTCAAATTTCTTAATAATTTCAGTTCAATAGATTTTTTTTTAACAATTTCGTTCAATGTTTTCGCATATTTTGGCACATCGAATATATCGGACGAAAATGTATTGTATGTTATATGTATTTGTTCACGAATGCCTCTCTGAAAAAATTGCTATTAATCAGAAAATTCAACATATGACAAAATCAATCCAATGAATTAACTGTGATAAATATTATCAAAGCTGCTAATTAATGGAAAACATATCGCTGTTATCGCTTTGGAAATTATTATCATCATTAAATTTCACAAAAATTACTATTGACTAATCGCGTATCCATTAATCATTTCAGATAATTCATTTAGGTCAACCTTACATTAGTCAAAAAGAAATTGTAGAAAATTGCAAAAATATTTTTAAAAAATAGCAAAAATTTGATGATTATATAAACTCTTTGCAAAAAATTAAATTAATTTTTTGGATTAACTTCAAGAATAGCAATAAAAAATGATGATTCACCATTATTTTGGAGGAAATATTACAACAATTTCAAAAATTATTGATAGCATTCATTTCAAGATGCTTTCAAACTCCCTATGATAAACAACATTCGACATACCTTCCGGAATATTTCATCCGCCAAATAACATATCTTTTGTGCGGCACCGGAACATTTAATTGGTGCATTTGGTAGGGTAAATATAGCTGTTCCTTTGTTAAATGCATATAAACATTCATGCGTTTTTTGTGCTAAATCAGCACGATAAATGCTGCATACATTTGGATCCAACAAAGCTTGCGGTAAATTTTCAATCTAAGATCAAATGATATTGTACTCATTAGCGGTTACTAAAAATTATTTATCTGGGATGCATACGAGCATGCAGATTGATATATATAATAGTTAGCATGCTAATAATTCCCTTTAGAGTGCATAAAGAATATCAACCTTTTTTACCACAGCTAACCTAAAATTGACGAAAATGCTAATTACAAATTAAAATTTTAAAAAAGCCTAAGAAGTGACACAACACTGACATATGAAAATGTATATGATTACATTGAAGAAAAAAAAAAATTTTATTCTGTTACGAATTCGTGATTTTTCCCAGTCTAAAATTTTCTTTTTCTTTCTCTCCTCCAACAAATAACAATAATATTCAACAAACACAGTACCATGTCAAATCGAACTTCAAGCCCTGCTGCAACAATCAGTAATTCATAGTTAATCTTTGTTCCATCACTAGAAGAACTTTTACATTTTTTAAAACAAAAAAAAAAATTATTCAAAAAATTTTTGTAAAATCACCACTTGTTAAAATTTACATTAGTTATGATCGGAAAGTAGTAAAAAATATTTTTTTCTTGAACTTACCTCTAAAATTAATGAAAGTAAACATTGCAAATGCAACACATAGATTATTTTGTTATTCATCTCATGTTCGTTTTCCTTCGTTCTCTTTCGTTTTTCTTGACAATGCATAGCAAAAAAAAAAGAATAGTTTAAAAAGTTGACTCCTATCCTTACTTACTTCAGCGTCACAGAATTTTCCGTAGGATTGATTTTCCTGGCTGTTTGTTTAATCCAGACATTATCAGGATGTAGTACTTCCTTCATTGGCTTAATACATTGCTCCAATTTGCATAAACCTCCACCAACAAGTGTGTATCCTGGCTGGAAGTGATGCTCCTGTAAAAAATATTCGATCACACTTCTATTGGGTAAATTTTTTGCGATTTTAAATGAAGTATAAAATTTTGAAAACTTTAGAAATGAAATCCATTTAATCTTTTCAAGTGATAATATCAAAATTGTTAACAGCTTTCAAAAAAAAGCTAACGGCTTTAAGTACATTAAATCATTTTTTAATTAAGCTTGAATAAGCATGAGTTAATATACAACAATGCTTTACCGATTTTACTGAGGAGCATCTTAGATATATACATCATCTCTCAATTAAATGTGGTTAAACAGTAAACTGTAAACTTGCAACAAATTTAATCCACAGATATCTTGAAATATTACTAATTCAATAAATATCAAACATCAGCTGGATCAATGACGACTATTTGTCCTTTGGGTACCAATTTATGACACCAGTTAGACAATGAGCAACCACCCGTACCACCTCCAATTACGACAATCTTATAACCTGAAGCAACTGTAAATCACAAAACTTTTCATACATACGAAAATTATTTGTCGCATACTAAGCAAATGAGATCATCTAGTTAGATCGAATAAAAATCATCATCTGGTTAGATGAGATCAAATCAAAAATTGAATAAAATTAAATAAATTAACTAAAATCTGAGAACGTGATTGATTTATTCGTAAACATTTTAAATCTTCTACAGAAAGATCATGTCAATTCGAACACTCAATCATTCTCTCACGAAAAAATATGCTATGAATTCAATGATCAGAGAATTCGGATGATTTTAGAACAATTACATTGTATTTTTACTACATCACAGGAATCGTTAATTAAATATTCTAACATTAAGGCTAAATTTGAAAATTCTTATACTTGGCCGAAAACTCTATGCAACACATTTTAAGCTTTTCTGCAGTCTTCGATATATGCCTTTTCAATTCAATGGAGGAAAATTCGTTAAAATTAAACAAGATAAAGAAACTTCTGAGAAAAAAATTTACCTAAATTAGCAGCTGTTAACGTCATCGATTCCACAGAGAGCTCAAATGCAGAAAGAGCTTAACCTGGAGTGGGGAGAAATATTCCGCTTTTCTGTTTCCGTTTAAATTTCTGTTTATGTCTGATGACGACACTTCAATGAGAAAA